CTTGATGTGCAAGAAAAACTTAGTTTACCAGAAACACACAATAATCAACTCGTCTTTTAGTCACAAAATATGTGAATGCACATTAATGCAACACTATGCAAGATTTGGTTTCAGAGTGCAATATTGCAATGCTAAAATTAGTCTCTAGTTGTTGTTTTATGAACTAGCTTTTGCAGTTTTATTATTATTCAACATCACTACTTCACTGTAGTTTTAAAAGTAGACATATACAGTTGTGATTTGGTGGTCAGGAGGGCATCTTTGTGGTGTGTCTGGATCAAGTACAACGCAGCACACACTGCTCTCGGAGGTTGGAGGCCAGTTCAAAGAAATGGGCAGCAGCTGGCATGGCCCGGTTCTTCCATTTTCCGCCAGGTCTCTAGGGAGAGACAGGGCGCGTGCCAAGGGCTTTCATGTCATAAATATCCTCCCTAAATGCTTCAGTGCTTTATAATTATACCTCCTTCATCTCCCCCTTTTTTCTCTCTCTTACTCACTCTCTCATACTACTGCGTATTGTCAGCGCTGTTTGTCTGTCTGCATGTGAGTGCATAAGTGTGTGTACATGCATGTATGTATGTATGTATACTGCTATATGTTATTAGAAAACAAACTTCATTGTGTCTGGACTTATAGAGCTCAGGGGGGTGACTTAGTTGTTCCTTGTGAGTCATTTTGGCTGACTGTGCTCACCTTTAAACTCTGGACATTAAACTGTACATCACTTAGCCAGTCTCACACAACTGTTTTCCATATTACTGTAATATACCCACAATGAGTCACACAACAGGCTAGTAAACAGTTCTGTTAACCTCCATCATCAGTGAAAATCTAATATATGTTTTCATCCTTTTTTTGTGAGTTTGCATGTGCTTTACACATTATGCTGACTAATCACAACTCATTGTTGTATGTGATACCCATAGCAACCTGCCACTTTAGTTACAGTGGATGAGAATGTGCACAATGCATCTTTGCAGTCCTACAAGAGCTTTTAATTCCATTCAGACTACAGTAAGTTTCAATTCTGTTTAACATTCCCAAGTCAGGAGACTTGCCGGCACTTGCAGGACTCACTAATTATTACATTGGCATCTTATTGGCCGCAGACTATCAAATTATAATGTAATGAAGGGGTGAAACCTTTTTTACTTTAACAGGTGTTTATTTGTATGTGATTCCCAGTTCTTAGATAACTTCTTCAGTTGATTCCTGTTAGGATTTATTTTCCTCTACTACATCTAGCATTGTTTTTTTGCTGAACTTTGTGTTTCTAGGTGAAAGATGATGCCATGTCACCCCGCTGCCTTTATTAGCCTATAAACCTTACACATATTATACAAATCAAGTGTACATCATTTGATGTCCTCAGGCCATTATTTATATCATGGAATTGTGTAGACTTGCAAAACAAAGCCTATTGTTCTGATTTGCCCGAATCAGCAATCTGAATTACTATCAACTGTGGTAGTGAAAATTAATCCTTCAAGCACTTAAGGCATGAACACTGTGCCAGCCAAACCAGTGGCACATTGCTACCAAGCCAAGACACAACTTGGAGGGCTGGGAAGTTCCCGTATGCGGTGCAGTTGTTGATTGCTTTGGTTATTGCAAAACCTCTTTCACTCAGACGAGTGAGCATTCTGGATGGGTTCCCCATTAAGGGCTTGTGTAACTCAACATTCTGCGGCCCATTAAGAAACACAAAGACATGGCGGCACACCACACTGTTAAAGAGTCCTTTGGTGTTAATGGCATAATGGTAGTTCTGTGTGTTAAGGTAGAAATGCGAGAGATAAGACGTCTGCTGCAGAACAAATAAACAGCTGTGTTACAGAGGAGAGATTAAGAAGACGGAGGGAAGATGTGAGCGAGAAAAGCCGTCAACACCAACTCGGAAGAACAACAAGCAATCCAGCTACAACAAGCAGGCCTGATTTTATTTCATTAATGACTGAAATCCCCTAAGCTAACCGCGTTTTTATGGGTGTTTGAGAACAATAGTAGGCTGTTGCTGCGTTGCTGTGTGCGTGTGTGGGGGAGAGAGTGAAGGCGCACATAAACTTTTCCTATCATTCCCACACAAACGCACACATGCATGCGTGTATACAGATTCTCACTGTGTTGAACGACTTGCAACCTGAGGTGGCAGCTACATTTTAGTATGGCTTGGTTAATCGGACTGGCATTTTCTTGTTTACAAAAACCACAGCTTCAAGACACAATGCAATTTCAGTGCAGTGTTTTACTTAAAGGTATCTCTTCTTTCTAATTGCATCCATTCTGACATTAATTCCACCCATGACTTCATCTTTTGGGATCATCGGTTTCTTCCCTGCTTATAGCCACTCTTATTATTACACAAGTGCCCTTATCTCTAGCTGCGACTTCCTGCACTACAAACAAACACATACACAGACAATGTGCTGTCTGTGTGATGTCTTCTGGACAAGGACTGTGTTGTGCACAGGGGGATAGATCGTAAGAATTTCCAATAAGATAAGAATGATGTCAGTGAGGGTATGAACATAGTTAACAATTGCTGATTTACTTGGATGCGTTTTGCATTTTTTTGTAGGATGTGTTTTTACGTGCATGCATACTAGTAAGAGTGTGCATAAAAGGTGTGTGCTCATGTGTTGCCGGGAAGTATCTCCACATATCTCAACCATGACAGAAGCTTTGTCTCCCTCCCTAGGGTGGAGGTGAACTTCCTAGCTCCTTCGGAGTCTGCAGGTTCTCTCTCTCTCTCTCTTCCTTTCTGTCTGTCTCTGTCAGAACAGCACATCCATTGTTGGGGGGGGCTCTGCCCTTTCATAAGGTCAGAGGGGCTACAGGTAGCGGAAAGGACAAGATTAATCACTTGATCTGGGACAGGCAGGGAGGGGGCGATAGACCGAGAGATGAGAGAAAAGATGGGGCAGCAAGAGAATTAGAGGGAAGAAAGGGGTAATTGAGAGGGGAGAGGAAGAGAAAAAGTTATCGAGAGCAGACAGGGAGGAAGTTGGGGATGAAGAAAGGGAAAGAGAGACAGGTAAAGACGAGGGGAAGTAATTACCTGCATAAGTGTCTTTGTTGTGCTCACCGATGCATTCAGTGAGAGGCAGGGCATGGAAAGAGAGAGGTGGTCAAGGGTAATTACATAAACGCAGGTTACTTGCCTTTGATCCTCTCGCTATGACTATGTGCCACAGTCTCGAGCATCCTACTTAGCTGCATGATGCATCATCATCATCATCAACACCGTCGTCATCATCACCACTAGGTAAGGGTTCACACTGAAGCACAACCTGTCTTGAGTTAGAAAGCATTTCAATATATTTTGATGTAATTTTAACATGTGCTGATTTTCCCATGTTTATTTTTGCGCTGTTGAATTTCTTTTTTCGCTAAGGTAATTATTTTCATAAACCACACATTATTAGTTTTACGTGACCTGAAGCCGACTGCTCTGAAACTCTCTGAATAAACAGACTCCACGCCAAGCGCAGGTGGTCATAGACTCCTGCAGATGTTGCTCTGACTAATCAGCATCAAAGCGTTGGAGTTTGTGTGTCATATGAGAGTGCCAGTGTGGATATTTTCATGTGCTTTAATATGTTATGAGTGAGTGTGTTGACATGCACAAGTCAGTCTACTGGTTACATGCTTGGTACCACGTGGATATAGTGTATGGAGGCTGTGTTGTATGTGAGAGTACCTAAGTGTGTCTGTGCATCTTTCAACCTGCGCTTGTACACTTCAAAGAGTGTGGGTTCTTTTTGTACACATGCATTTGTGTGTGTGTGTGTGTGTGTGTGTGTGTGTCCTGGAGTATGTGTGAGTCAGTGGCCAGCTGCATCGCACAGGGCCTACCTGTGGGTGTAGTTGGCCCAAATCCACCTTCTTAAGTCTGCTTTTTATTCAGTGTCACATAAACAAATACCAGCAGGGTCCATTCACTTCCAAACCACTCAATAACATCCTCAGATCTCTCCCCAACATCTGTTGACCTGCACTTTTTTTTCTTCACCGGGGAGGTTCATGTAAAGCAACACTTTTATGTCTGTACTGTACAGCAAGGTGTGTTTGGCTGTGAAAACATTTTCATTTCTAAGTGCTGCATAGTCAAGTGCACAGACATACTCAACACCCACACATTATTTTGTAGAAACCTGCGTGTTTTCATAGGCAATATATACTCAAACACAGACAGAGTGGTGCAAACACACATTCGGTGACATACACACATAACCGAGAACGGGCTTGAACTTGCCCCACATTCACTCAGCAGGTCTTGTATGTCTTTGATATGCCTGACCCTCTTTTATTGTTTTTTCTATATTTCTCTATAAGACGGGTGGTATGTAACTGATTAGATAGATAAATATACCCTGAGGGTGAGAGACAGGCAGAGAGGAGGAGGAGAGGAAGGATACTGAGTTTTCTGAATCTTGTCCCAACACATCTCAGCCGTGGAACTTTAATCTGCTGAGGTTTCATGCATTTAAACGGCCCGATTAGGAACAGTCTAACAGGCGCTTTCCCTGCCGGGCTGAAACAGAAATTAAGTGCTTAGGCACAGCCATCATTTGTTTGTTTTCTCAGTGCCTCTTTTAAAAGATACACTCAGAGATAAAGGCTTTGATCGTGTGCTGAAACAACAAACAGTCATGTTCAAGCCTATGTGCAGCACTGATACGATGTAGAGATGCGGATAAAGTGGCTGAAGCTTTGCTGATTTATTTGATGATAATATTCTCTCATGTTTGGTACTTGCATTCATTTTCACCTGTAGTAACATATGTAATAAGTGTTTATAAGAAGATAAGAACAGTGAACCTGATGATGAACAAAACTTTGGGACGTTTATTCTTTATGATGGTTTTAATTGAGGATAGTGATGCATGTTTGTTTGTGGAGTAATGCACAATTTTAGCAGGTACGTTGGTAATAACTGTTCTTCCTCCCTCTTTCCTTCTCCCTCATTCCTCTTCCCTCTCTGTCTCTTTCTCCTTCAGTGACATATTTGATGCCATGTTCCCAGTCACCCACATTGCAGGGGAAACAGTTATCCAGCAAGGTATGTATAAATGTTTTGTTTGGATGAATGTCGTCACAGTCAGTCATATTAATTGTGGAGTATATACTGTACACAGTTTATGTCACATTCATTAATAATCCTAGAATAATTGGGATGTTAGTAATGTTGAGACTTTCTGTTTCTTAGATTACTGCATTTAAAAACAGTTGATTAATCATCAATCAAATCATAATTACATAATTGGATGGTGCCAAATAACCAACATTTTAAGCTATGTCTTGCTAAATGACAACATTGAAGATAGATATTAAAAAAGATATTGAGCTACAATTGTATCAATCCAGCACTATTTCAGTCATAATTCTACTGTTACTCTTAAAATGTGACAAACCAGGGTTTAGATTATAATGGATTTCAAGAATAAAACAGGTTGAATACTGAGATATATCTGACCATTCTGAGGTGTGTAGAGGTATGTGTGGTTATTCTGTAGCAGCCTGTTGTCATTTGCATGTTATTGAATCTAGGTAAACACAATAAGCTGGCAAAATTGGCAAAGTGGCAACAGATTGATGTTGCACCACAGACCGATGTGGCTCTGAGATATGTACTCACACGTTTTCCACCAAAATACCAGCAACTCTTTTTCTATTTTCTCCCAGTGAAATGGTTGATTGCACAGATTGTTAAGCCCTTGGGGCAAATTTGTGATATTGGTTTATAATGATAAAATTGACTTGCTTCTCCTCCCACCTATGTACTGTAAGCTCTGTGCTGGGCACCAAAATACCACACAGATGGGCAAAGTAAAGGTCCACCACAAAAAAATACCCCTTTATCTCAAAGAAAGCATCTATTGCACTCCCACTACTTTGTCCTACCACTCTCTTGTTCCCTCCCTTTTCTCTCTTTGCCCCATTCATACATTCCCCCACTCTGCACCATATGTCAAGTCCCTCTCCTCTGCCTAGCCACCGTTGTCAAAGCCTTCACTCTAGACATACGTGTAGTTTGAAGGAATACAGAGCATAGCAGGGTCAGACTGTATTTTTCCAGTCCCCCCACCCTCACTCAAACTCCTATCAAACACAGACACAAACATGTTAAATCATGTATTTAAAGCACTAAAAACACACTCAGATAATACTGCATAATATCACACAGGTAGAGCTTGCCATACAAACACACACTCTTTTAGACACCGAGTGAAGGATAATTGGCTTTTGTACACACACTGGATCACACACTCGCTTAGTCACTCCCACCTACTCTAAGACAGCATCCAGGAGTATATCAGTCCTAATTTGGTGATAATAAGTCTAGCTAACTTTGCAGGGCCCCCAGACCCAGACAGCCCATTGTTATATACACTACAGCCTGTGGTATACAGTATATACAGCACTGATGTCATTGCTAATGTCTGGACTACTGTATAGCTTCAAAAAAAACACCCCTGCTACTGCTGCACACACAGTATTTAGACACAGTTAGGAGTTATCGACTCTGTGGCTCGAGTGGTATTTAAACAAACTGAGAATTTACACCAACTGATAACATGCAAAGTAGAATATTGAGGTATTTTCATTGTAATCTATTGGCTAATGTAATATATCAAGGTAATTTAATCAGCTATTTATGACATTCAATTTGGCAGTTATAAGCGATTAGCTCTTGACATATAAAATTTCAACATGAAGTCAGCTTTGAAAGATGAGCACGTCTGGCTTATTGGTGCACCAGCATTGTGGGTACAAAACACCTTAGAGGCCGAGGATGTAACCCATGTTTCCTTTTGAGCAAAGCCAAAGAACCTTAACAGAGTTTACGACAATTAGCTTGTGTTAAAACGAGGCCACACTACACCAGCCTGCCTGCGCGCGCGTGTGCGTGTATGTATCTATGTGTGTGTGCACGCTCTGGTCAAATATTTGCCTGCACTCTTTGCCAGGCACAGGGGGGTTTGGAGAAGAGCGCAAAACAAAGACTTGAGCACCAAGGTGATAAAAGACAGGAAGAGTCGAAGAAAAGAAAGACAGAGCGAGAGGGAATTGAAAGAGAGATAGATGAGATGAAAGAGAGGGAGGCAGAGACAGAGGGAGAGAGATTGGAGAGGGCCAGGTTGCAGCAGGTTTTTGTGTGTGTGTGTGTGTGTGTGTGTGTGTCAGGGGTCTCCTTTGGGACAGACCATCAGACAGACAAGGAGCATTTTTGTTTGAGAAATAGAGCTATATGATTAACGAGCACTCGCCACTCAGTATTAATTAGCCGTGTGAACTCCTGTGAACTTTACATACAGGGCGCTCTCAGCCTTTCAACTCTTCAGGCGAACATACCCACACGGTCATACCCACCCTCACTTGGTACCTATGAAATGTACACACATGCATACTTGTGTCTTGTATACTCATGCATCATCACCCACTTGTACCTCTGAATGGGGTTTCCTTTTAAATATCTTATTGTAAGAGGTAGCTGCAGGGAGAGCCTCACAGTGCCTATGTATGTGGCTGTCAGTCCTTTTTAATAATTTCCCTTGAGCCCTATGTAACAGATAGCATAATTAAAGGAACACGCCACCATTTTTCAGCCTTATCTCCAGGCTAGATGCTTTTAGCGGACATCAACCAACCAGATCCTGTGGCTCGCTTCAAGGTTTAGGGTTTGCTTTGAAAGCACAGCGTGCTCCTGTCAATGACACAACAGGGATCCAGTCATTTTGAGTTGCCAGCCTTGTTCATATAATACCCATCAATTAGTTGCGGATGATATAGGAAATACAAAAATGGAAATAATTTTGGCTGGAGCCGATAAGGCTGATATAATGTATTTTAACTAAAATACTAGCCACGGTTGTTGTCTTTTTTGGCCTTTGGCAAGCAGGCGTCTTGGCAAGTTGCAACTTTCCTAACAAGCTGAGTCTGAGATGTCCTAAAACGCCCATGGTCCTCAGAATAAACCCTTTCTGATTTAGGCAACAACATGTCGGTTCTGCTGGTGCAAACCTGCAGGCTGGAACTATTCATTTACCATTTTTTCTTGGCTAGAACGCAGTGTATTTTTTCATTTTCTAGTAACAATTTTCATGTAGCCACTAGCATGGATATACACTTTGTAACCTTGTTTTTGTTCACATTTTCTGTCTTCACAAAAGACACTTAGAGCTCAATAGAACTGCATCCTAATAGAAATTGTATTTTTATGCCCATTTTCTGTAGTATACTATGAATTAGCACTGAGGTGTTATAGCTCTCGATGCTCAGGCACCACCATTTCATAGTTTCCACTATTAAGCTACACAAGCTGCAGTAATGAGCACCACTGTTGCTGCAACTTTCTGCTGGCAAGAAACCCATTTCACAGAGATATTGGCAGGCCCAGTGAAATATGCATTCTGGAGGAGGCAGCAGCATCTCTGATGCTGGGTCTGCGCTTTTAGAGGCCCTCAATTTATAAAGAAAAATGATAGCAAGACAAGCAATCAACAGTTGTTCTTTTAGGGAGAAGGGTTGGAAGTTAAATGACGAGTGTGGGAAAATGCGTGCCTGCGTGTGCTTATGTAGAAGTTGCAGCACTGACAAATCCCAACAATTTCTCAATCTGTTTCTGTTCCAAAGCTCACAGAAAGTGGTATTCCAAAGGTTTGACAAATGAGTTTAATCTCTTAATGCACCCATTTTGGTTTAATGGTTTAAAAATCCGCCTTTGAGAACTTAAGCAGAAAGTGGGAGTAATAGGAAGACTAAGCTTTCCTCTTGGCTCCAGGTACTTTTCCTGCTTTCACAAACTCCTGTGTTTCTCCTCTTCTCTTACCTCTAGGCGATGAAGGAGACAACTTCTATGTGATTGACCAAGGTGAAGTGGACGTAAGTGGCTGAGCACACACACAAAAACATTCATTCATTTTGTCTTTAGAGAAATGTATTTGATTATGAGTTAAACCGGCTATAGCAAACCATTACGAATAAAGGGGATTCCGCTATGAAGTCTGCCAGTGTGTAAGTCATAAGACGGATTGTGACTCAGTGGGAAAACCCTGCCTTCCCCACTCAGGTTGAGACAATGTTTCCCTCTAACAATAGACAGGTTGTATTGGATTGCCCCCATGTTTTGTCCTCTTCAAAGTTCGGTTCCACTCCAATGACAATCTGAACAACATGGCGCTATAGAGTTCAGCGCACTGTGGAGGCAACCAAACTGAGACCATCTTTTGTCTTAGCAAGGCTGACACAGAGCGATAGAGTTAAGTGGAGAGATAAAACAGGAGCTGACGGAAAGTTAAACAGGAAATGACCTTATCGGCTTACAGCGGTGAGCACAGATACGGTGGGTAAGAGGAGAGAAGCCGGTTGGCAAGCTCAGCCGAGCGTGCCGATATAGTCGGTCCCACTGAGAGAATGAAGCGTATAAATACTGAGATGGTGCCTTGATAGAAAGACTGCTTAACTCTTACCCAACATTGTTGCATTGACTTGCATTTTCTTGGGTGATGTCTCGTCCAATGTGATTAGACAAGTTATGATGCCTATTTCTAAATTCTGGTGAAACAGGTAGAGGCCATGATTATTCCACAGAAGGGTAGCTGTGTGCACATTCAAACCTATATTTATATGTAGATATGGAATTCAGTAAAGCAGAGAATATCCGCACACCGGATAATATCTCCTCAACGTTTATAAGACTGAACAGGTCAGGTTTTTTTGTTCTTAAATTGAACAAAGCGAATGTTCTCTTTTTTTTCCTTCCATGATTGTTATTTTCCTTAGCTGTTAGGGAGTCTTGTGTAAGATCTGATATTTAGTGTATGATAATCTTGTTCTCACAATAGAGGCTTTTTAGTGGGAAACACTGTTTTTGTTTTCACCACTTATCTTACAGTCTGTGGCTTGTCCATTTACAACCAGTCGGTGTGTTGAAACCACTTGTTCAATTTGGGTGTGAGGAACAGCCTGTCCTTTTACCACAAGTTGGTCCTTACAACCCTCTCTAAACTGTATAACCTTAACTCAAACTGGTGCTCTGTTCAGCAGTTACAGCACTTTTAGGCCTTTTCCACCAACAGGGAACCGGCTCCGTTCCTGTTCACGCACCTAGTTTTGAGCCATTCGGAGCATTTCAACCAAAAATAAATTGGTTTGGAACCCAATAGGTTTCTTCCAAAAAACAGTTGGCGTGTCATATTCTTCAGGTTGTTGTACATTGTGCAACGCCCTCTGTTGATAACACATTCTTGATTAGAGATAATTTAGTGGAAAAACAGCTATGTCTTTATTGTCTGGCCCGCTCTGGGCTGGGACTTCAGCTTCTCTCTGTCTCCGATCGATGAATCTTAGGCGTCTGCTTCCACAGCCAGGATCCGATCATTCTGCACCCAAGTTCGGGGGAAGACCCTATCCCTAACCTCACCCCTCCTCATCTATGACTCCTTCACCTCACCCTACAACCCACCCCTTCTATCTCTACAGACAGTTGCTGCCTCCCAGCCACAGCTCAGGCACTAAACTACTTCAAGCTCAGTGCCGAGGTTATTAAAGTGTGGAGATGTCTCTCATTAGACAGGGGTGTAAATCTGCTGGCATCCAATAAACTGCCTGAAAGCTGACAACCACTGCCACTGATGTAAACACCCCTCCATGTCTGCACAAATGTATTCACTTACAGACATTGGCCTGTATTTATATGGGTGCACCACAAAGGAAATTAAAGCTTTCATTCCAAAAAGCAAAATGATCTTGTTGAAAAAAAATGCTATTTTTTATTAAATATTATCTAGTAACACTTTAAGTCCCCCTATTTAGCATTTATAAGCAGTATAATAAATGTAGTTTTAAGCAGATGTTTGTGTTTATTCATGTATTTATCGACAACTATAACACTTCTTGTGTGCACCCATAACTATAGACAATATATTAAAACTAAGTTGTAATTATATATACTATGTCTTCGTAGGAGAAATAATAATTGAATACAAACACTGTACATTGATAAACACTTAAAAATGTCCTTATATCTGCTTACAAAGACAGACATATTATAGTATTTAATAAATCATTATTAAATGTTTGCATACTGCTTATGAATGCTAAGTAGAGGGACTTAAAGTAAAGTGTTACCAGGTATATTTTAATCACAAGAGATTATATCTGACATTTCGTTAGCAAAGGTCTTAAGATAATTCACTTTTACCTTAAATGAAAGCAATTATTTTGTAAAAGATGGTTTAATTGTATTATTATTAGAGTAGATATGGCATTAAGGAAAAAAATGAAATAGACAATAGAAACAGAGCCTCTCTGACACACACTTATACTGCTCGTGGCTATGCACAGAGAAACACACTTCCAGTAACTACAAACAGGAATACACAGCAACACTGCCTGCTCATCCACCTTCCAGTACTTTTGATTTGTTGCTTCTTAATTACCAGCAGGCACATACAGTTTGCTGTAGATATTCACATATTGAAAATTCAGTGACAGCTGCAAGCCAGCATGCATTGTTCAAGACCCGAATTGTTTCAATCTTTTTCATCATGAACTCCATTTTACCTTCCTGGCAGTGCTGACTCGATACAGTGTTTCCAATTTCAGTCCTTATGGACCACCTTTCCTGCAAGTTTCTCCAGCTTCACTCTTGCATACCTGACTCAGTTAGGATGCAATGCTGATTGTTTGAGCATTTGAAACAGCTCTACCTGACCAGGAGCTACAGCAAAGTATATGTGGAACCTTATAGGATCGAATGTACAGCATCCAAGACTGAACAAAGACCTGCAGGTCAGGAGATACTTGATGACTGGAACGGAAAACTGCAGAGTGAAAAATGCTATTACCTGTATGCTGTGATGTAACACTTTGCAACACTCGTATGATTGTCCTTCTAAACTTGACGTAACCATAGCCAGCACTCTGCATCTCTTTGAAGCCACCCCAGTTTATAGTGAAGGATGAGTCCCCTGTGGTCTATTCTGAACCTTGGATAATGGCTTGCAACAATTCTGGCAATTCACAGCCACCGGAGGGATAAACCCTGCCCCCTCCCTCCCTCTCTCCCCTCCTTTCTCTCTGTGTTATTAAGTCAACAAGATAGTGGATAGTGTGTCGACAGGTGAAACCGTAACGGCCCCAGAGACGGCCTGAATGAGTCTCAATAAGGTTGTATTGTCTGTAGAACTATAGTGGCTGGCCTAAATAGAGCTGTGCATGTGTGTGCGTGTGCATGCCGGTGAACAAGCATGTGAGTGCCTATATGTGTTTTAGATCTAGAGAGTAAACCCACAAAGTCCGTCCTCCATCACTCCCAAATCAAAGGGAAGTTCCTAACAAGACAAGACAGAGGAAAATAAAAAGGAAGGATGGAGAGATAGGAGGGATAGAGGGCCTTTTAGAGGGTCTCATTTGAGGGCTTAGTGAGGATCAAATGCTTAGGGACAAGCCTAGTGAGCATATCAAATGGCCCAGAAACTGAGGTGAGGGAGAGAGGGATGAGAAGGGTAGGGGAAGGTGTTTCGGGATAGGTGAAGAAGTTGAAATGACAGAAAAAATTTAATTCTGCCCAGTCTACCCAGCAACGATTGAGATTCTTCAGACGCATTTAATTTCATGTAACACCCTGTCCATCACGGTTTTTCCTCCTTCTGTCTGCAGGTGTATGTGAACGGGGAGTGGGTGACCAGTATTGGAGAAGGAGGTAGTTTCGGAGAACTGGCCCTGATCTATGGGACTCCCAGAGCTGCCACCGTCAAGGCCAAGACTGATCTTAAACTGTGGGGCATCGACCGAGACAGCTACCGGCGCATCCTCATGGTATGAACTTCATCACACTCGGGCTAATGCTCTGTTGCAGCATGGCTGGTAGCCATTATTTCAGGTCTACTTTAAAGGTGCCCTGTGGAGTTTTCTCGTAAACAAACAAAAGTGTTGTTTACATTCAGTGTTACTCTCGAAAACTCACTTTGTGTATCCTTGAGGTCCAAACACGTGTTGAATGTATTTCCATCTCATAAAACATTTGCAAAGTATTTCCAAAGTATTTAAAATCCTGCATTGTTTATATCCATGTTTACTTGTTTGCAGTCTTCTTCTGCCCTGTCTTTGCCGATGCATTACAGTATATGTTGTTGTGTTACTACCACCTGTGGATCTGCGGAATAGTTTAAAACCATTGGCAGGACTGTGTATCGCATCACCTGCCCGACATTAGAGTCCTTGTACGCGTGCATGACATAAACAAAACAGTGAACCACTCATAAAAAAAACAGCTCCATTGTGCCTCTTAGGTCAAAAACTCTGCAGGGAACCTTTAATCCTGCTGCGATTAGATGTATGAAAGGTAATGAATTAGGTGTCCTGTTCTCAGAGAGGAGGCTACAGAATTCTGTAATGCCCATAAGCATTGTTATAACACATGCACAGTTATAAGGCTGCATTAGCATGCGTCATGCACCTCAACTTGTAACTCCAACAAACACATTCACATTTAGCATGCAGCAGGGAGAACTGTCCAACACCTGGGGACACACGATGACATTATTCCCTAGCAGAAATTTTCCCTATGCCCCAGTTTACAAAGATCCTTCATTACGCTGTTAAAATGTGAATTATCGAACCTCAAACTCACACACACACACACACACTTCGACACCACACAGAAATACTCTTAAGAATGATGTACATATAATAAAAATCTCCCATACACTCTTATCATTTGTAGTCCTTCACTTTCGCAATGTTTTCTCCCACTCAACCACTTAAGACTCCTTAAAACAGTTGGTTTTAAAATTTTTACACTCAGCATATACACACATGTGCGTTCACACAAACACAAAAAACACTTTCACCACCGGGTTCATTCTCCTCTTTTAACGTCTCTCTAGATCTGTCACTAGATGAAGAAAGGTGAAAAGAGTGAAAAAAAGGGAGGGATGTGGAGGAGAGTGAGGGTCAACACTAATGCCTCTACACACACTTCCCGCTCCAGGAGCTTATCTTGCAGGAATGTCTAAATGTTTAAACTGAAAACACAAGGTGCTCTGCCCTAGCTGTCATACCGATTCACACACACACACACCTACACACATTTTGGGTGCTGTTGGAAATACTAATTACTGTGTGTGTCTATATGAGTCTCCATGCCCAACTAAATACTTAAATCTTCATAACACCTTACTCCAGATAAATTAGATGGCCTCCAATTAATCTTCCAAACACCCGTATGCATCTAAGCATTCATCAGCAGTGAGAATTCTGCTCTGTGTCAAACCGTTTGAACCCGCGGAGATGGAAGGTCTGTGTTTGGACCTTTCAGCTCAGTGTAAAGTTGGCACTGGCCTGCCCAGCACTCATGTCACCTCTTAAGCACATAGTTTAACTGAGGGCGCAGTCTGCCCTGGTAACCTTTCTTTGAGAGGATTCTCTCTCTGTCTCTCTCTCTCTCTCCAGCTCTCATTCCTTCGTTCCTTCCAGCAGCAGCAGCAGGAGGGGAGACGGGGTGAAGCAGAATTCAATTATGTGAACCTGTAGTTAATTACTGCTGTCAATGATTTGTAAAGCTGTTTTTATAAAGTGTGGTATTCTGGCAACGTCTTAGGCCAACACAATGAGCATTCTCTGTGTGTCTAAGTATGTATGTGTGTTTCCCAGTAAAATTATGCTGAGTGCCTGTGTCTGCAGCTAGTTAGTTAGGAGCTCGGGAAGGTGTGCTGCCGCTACCAACAGTTTCACTGTTTGCACATCTGCGTCTCTCCTGTCCTGCTTCTCTGCCGGATTTTGACATATTCTTAGCAATGGTATTTCAAGAAACAAAATCTTGAGCAACTGTCAGTCAAAAGTTATCGACTTTTGCTGGTTGCAAATGATAAAGTTCCATTATGGCAATTTATCTAATATCTTTATTTATTTATCTAAGTTATTTGTAATGTAAAAATCAAAGCCCTTTTGACTTGTTCTAGCGAAGAACTAAATCAATTTCTCGTTGAATAATGAATAACATCAAACTTTTCAAATGTGAAGATTTCCTGCTTCTCTGCATTCTATATTGTAAATTGAGTGATGGTATCTTCTGGTTTTAGACTTTGTATGGACAAAACAAGACATTTGAATGGTCCTCAATATGTATGAGGGGCATTTTTCACAATTATTTGACTAAACGATTAACCAATTTACCAAAAAAGTTATTAACAGAATAATCGAGAATGAAAATATTAAATTCCTGCCATATTTAACAGCACCTACATGTTTGCATGTGCCTTTGCAGACATCACCTGTTGTACCTTACATCACCATTAAATGTCAAAACATGACACATGACACATACATGACATATGCCATAGTCAGCATCATCAAAACTGGTCTTCAAATAGTTTCAACCACTGAGCACGCTGATGACACAATGTCAGTAAATTTGTCATATAATATCAGAGCCAAGGCGGCCCTTTAAAACCACCTTAACCCCCACATCCTCCTCTCCTCCTTATCCAGGAGTGCATTTAGTAAACAATGTAATACCATTCCCTTTGATAAATACACTCCCTCCATTGTGTAGCCGCCAGTCAAACAATACCCACCTTGTCATCTTGGTATTTAAACACGGAGAGCTACAGACAAAGCCATTAACAAACTGACAGGCCACTGTCAACAAACAGAACACAAGACCAAAGGAGACAAGGAGAAATGATACCCAGAAATGAGGAGGGATTTTGGGTGGGGGGGCGTTGTATGTGTTTCGCATTGGACAGAGATGAAGGTGATGAGGATGAGGCGTAAGGTACGGTTGGTTTAGTCTGGCTTCGCTCCACACCTCAACTCTTTGATGATTTGCCTCAAAGACAGCAAGCAGACACAGAGGCTGGTTCATCTTTAACCGCAGGAGGAGCGAACACATTAGGGCCAACAGGAGTAGGGGAGTTTTGTACATGAAACATGTGCTCAGGCCCTCCCAAGTAGACAGGAAGGTTAGGACAGATGCAGATAGAAAAGAATGCAAAGAGAAAAAAAAGATGTGCACCAACAAAATGAATGATAACTTGAAATTTTAGAATCAGAAATTTAGAAAAGTATCATTTTCATTCCATCCTACCCAGTAAACTCCTATTGCTGGTGACATTACTCTGGCCCACCCAGCCCTTCTTACACCAGTGGCATAAATCAGACCTGCTGTGTAATGTAATGTTATGTTCGCATGGTAAGCCTTTAAGCTCAGCAAGCCTGTCAGAGGAGCTCTATGGGGAGGCTATGAAATCAAGAGACCAACTCAACATCGCTGTAGAAAGTGGAGTGCGTGTGTGTGTGAGATTGTGAGGTTAGAGTATATACATGTGTGAATGTTTGTATTTGCTTGCTTAATGAGCATGAAGTTTCGTCTCTGCAGAGACAGCAGCGAAACATAAGTGGCAGAACTAAAAACAGACTGCATGCTCCGCACACACACACACACACACACACACACACACACACACACACACACACACACTTGAATCATTTATCCAGGAGGGAGGCAATGCAGGCTAGAATTCCTTTAATCAAGTTGTTTACGATTTTGAGTTTGACGTTGGCTCACTTGGGAACATTTTCTCTCCTTTTAAGACAAAATGTGAAATTATATGAAATTAGAGGCAGCAGCGGGACTCAGGCACTTATGCACTAAAGACACCCCAAGCCTCAATATATCATTTCCATATGCAGAGGCAGACACGGGGTGGACAAGATCGTCTCTCCTCACCCTCTCTGTTTCTCTTTATGTACCCGCTCTCTCTGAGTGGTTCTGTGCAATGAAGGAGGGGGAAAAAAAAGAGAAATGCAGTTTAGGGAAGGGGGTCCTCTGGGTCCAGACTTGTCAGGAAGCACCTGATGTTCATGGCAGAGAGGGGAAAGTCCCCTGCCTGGTGGGTGGGGTGGGCCACACACATACACACACACACACACACACACACACACACACACACACACACACACACACACAGAGACACACACATGCGAGGAACATTACCGCACAAATTATACACACCTCCATAAGTATGACCCCATGAACTATGTACAGTGTATGTCTACACAATTAATCATCCAATAGTGCAATTTTGATTTAAGTTTCCATATATTATAATTTTGACATTCGGCAGGAGTGATATTTGTTAAGTTTTGAGCTTTAAAGACCAGTTTTGGTTTATAAAATGCTTTTGTTACACTTGATGTGTTACAGTAAAATAAAAACCTGAAAAAGAAAGAAACTGACTATATATTGTCAAACATGATAACAGGAGAAGTGCAATAAATCTCTAAAAAAGAGTATCGGTGTGAAAGCAAGGTTTCACTTCCAAAAGATGGATCATTGTCTGTCATTTAATGATGCTCTTAATTTAAACTCTGAAAACAAACAAGAACAGTTTTTTTAGACTATGTCTTAGCAACTCGCCAAAGTAGTAATTACTTGAATTTGTTTAGATTAGAGCCACTGTAATACCTTTAGTTGCTACTATTTTAACAGTGTTTTTACTGATCTAATCTAATTGGTTCTGTTTCTCAAAACCAAATAATTCTGATCACAATATTTTGCAGAATAATCACAGTGATCATTGTTCTGGTAAAAGTGGAGCGCTGTCATACAATTTGACAGAGAGTGTGTGTAACGGTGAATGTGTCTCCTCTTTTTGTCTTCCAGGGCAGCACACTGAGAAAGAGAAAGATGTATGAAGAGTTCCTTAGCAAGGTCTCCATCCTTGGTAAGTCTGTGTGTATATGTATCAAAATATATCACATAATGAACGCAGTGTGCTTGCACGTGTATGCCATGTTACGCATTCATTTTAAACACCGGGTCAGAGAGTCCAGAGTGCAGGCAGTTAAATCTGCCGAGTGCAACATATACTGTAGCTTAGCCCACATAAACACAGGCACACGTTGTCACACAAGGCCCATAGCTGAGTAAGGTCTGTGTGTACAGTCCTAATCTTCTCGCACTGTTCATACTAAAGCCAGTCACACTCTGCAATGTCTCTGTGTGGACAATTAAAGAATAGGGAGTTAAGCTAAGCTTCTATTTTCCTACTGGAATTTGGATAACAGCAGCCTACACAGGCCATTGAGTTTGGAGGAATTGGGAATGAGATTCATTCAGACTTTCAAAACGAGTTGCAATTGGAACTGACATCTCATCCCCTTCCACTTGATCGTGTGTGTGTGGTGTATAGAATAAGGCCATGCCCCCTGTACAGAGTTATTAGCTGGCTGAGTAAACACATACACTCAATTCAGGTCTTAGGAGAACGTCGCCGCAAGATCTACTCTCTTTTCAATCACCTCCTTTCTTCTACGTCTCCCTTTTTGACAGCCTTGTTGGGGCCTGTATTCAAACGCCCGCCTCCTTCTTCGAAATGCTTTTCCTCTCTTCATTCCTCTTTTCTGTCGCTCTGGTGCTCCGCTCTACCTCTTTGAATTGGAGGAGGGGTAGGAGGCGGGAGTGTTTTTGTTTGTCTTTGATTTTTGAGATAACCACGAAATTGGGTACAAGCCCTTGATGTCAAGGAGTGAAGGGGGAAAAAACAACATGTTCTTTGTTGCCTACACAGAGAGGCTTCATCGTCCCAATGGCCAATAACCTGTGTGCGTACTATGTATGTGTGTACCAAGGTGACCCAAGTGGGTGCAGGCCCTGCGAAGCGTGAAATTTAGGTTCTTTAGTCAGCACATTTGTGTATCGTGTTACATGCCGAGCTGTTAGGGATCACTACTATAGGACCTGCTGCCTTTAGCTTGCAGCCAGACAGAGGACATCCATCTGGGGCCGGCAGACACCACGGCCCCACCGGAGGGACACTGGACACCTCCAATCAACCAGACTTCACCTTAGTTAATCCTAAATACACACACACACACACACACATACACGCACACAAACACAAATAGACACACACTGGGATCGGTTACTGAGCACATCAGGAGACAATAGTCTCAGATAAAGAGATTCTGCTGTAGTTTTACGCCTCTAACTCACGTCTTAGTCAAATCAAAACACTGAATCACCCTTTTATCTAGACAAAGCTAGAGATGAGGAGTGTTTTCACTGCAGATAAGTCACATTCCACATGTAGATGTATAGACCATTAAGATTAGGGAATGGTAATCTGCTGAATTGTAAAAGCAGGATGAGCTCATTTGTCAGATCTTCTACGTGGAGGCATTTAGGTGTTAGTGGGCCCTCTTTCTATAAATATCAATAGTTCTTAGTTGCTGAAAACTTTGTTGGTTGGAACATTTCTCCCAGTGAGGATGTGTGACCGTCTGTGTTTTTGGTTTCTGTGTGAATACCAACAGCTTCTAGAAATATCCCGGGCTAACCACGTCACTGTACATGTGGTTGGATGGTCGGAAAGACAGCTGTCGCCACTGGCTTTCAGGGTCAACAAAAAAAGTGAAAAAGATAGATTTTATCACAGGTTTTGGTCGGACTCATTCACAAATTTTCTTCATGTTCCTGCAAATAAATATCTATTCCGAAGTTTGTCGTTTTTTATTTAATTTAAATTAATTTTAATGTTTCATTGGATTCCATTTAAGGTAATTTAATCTGAACTTTATTATTACAGCCTGTACAATTATAAACCCTGTTTCTGGAATGTAACTGAACATACTGTACACATTTTACAATAACAGAAGGCAAATATTCAGTTTTATCTTCCTAATCCTTTAGGTGTATCTCAGACACTGAACAAACACTATTATTTGCACTGTAAGTTCATCCTATACATATTCACTTTTACAAGCACCAAGCAGATGCTCTTATCTACACCAATTTACCCTGAGGGAGCCTCCTCTCGAGGATACCTGACTTTGTTTTGGAGAAAACTTTGTATGGTCAGACCTGAACTAACCTCAAAGAGGACAGCTCTCTGTCAGCACACCACAGGATCAGTAGAGCTGAGGTCTTAAAGATTCAGGGGTTAGTTTCAAGGTGTTTTAGCTCCATGAGGCTCCATGGGAGGAGGGAGGAGGCAGGGGGATCTAAAATGTAATGGTCCCTGATGAATGATTGGATTAGCCCAAGGTAGGAATTATCGTTCCCACCAGCTTACTGGACTTGAGCAAGAGACATCCTCTCAGACCATGGAATGCACACAAACACAACCATATTTTTGTATCTACTGTTGCATTCATCATCAGTGTAAATAACACATTGTTCTTACATATCTGTATGTATTTTCCATTCACAGAGTCTTTGGATAAGTGGGAACGTCTGACGGTGGCCGATGCTCTGGAGCCCGTCCAGTTTGAGGACGGAGAGAAGATAGTGGTGCAAGGAGAACCTGGTGATGACTTCTTCATTATTACAGAGGTAAAGTCTGTGAGAGGGCCTAGGTGTGTGTTTGTGAGAATCTCTGTGCTGTGTTACTGCTCTGACTTGTAGACAAAGTAGTACTTGGATGAGTAAGACAGGATGTGTGGTACACTTTCTTTTACTGTCACATTTCCTGTAAACTGTATGCGTTGACATATGGGGCCCAAGACTGTGTATGTGTCATCAGGTGGGCACTCGGGTGGTTGATGTACACATCATCATGCAGAGACGTTGGTGGGCTCTTTGGGGTCGGAACTGATCCCAGTTTATTGCCACCAGCAGACAGACAACCTCCACAATTTCAACCCCCCACCCCCCACCCCCCCCTCACACTGGAGGCTTTGTGGAGCTGGGGCCCCTGGTGCAGCTTCATGAAGGGCCCCCTGCCTGTCATCCTAACACACTTTTGATTAACTCCATACTTACACAGCTTTCACCAGGGTCAAGTCAAGAGGGCCCAGTCTAGAGGGGGTGGGGCCGCAATCTGCTGTGGTTTTGTCCTTTCCTCCCTTCTTTCCCCTCTCATTGTCATGGTTGAAGGTTAGTCCCTCTGTCACTTGCTCTGTCCGTCTAATTATGTGTGCAACAATAGTCCTTGAGAGCAGGGACTTGGTTACAGTACATGGGAGCGGTTAGGTGTGGTTACGCCACAGGAGGAGGATTTTATCAAAGGTGCTGAGTGATGTGTTGCTCCTCATCCCTCTTTTGGCTCGCTCTCGTTCTCTCTGTTCCACCTGCGCCCCTCCAGCACAACACACCTCCTCTCCATCCTTCTTTCATCCATTTTCTCACTCTCCTAGGTTTGCCTCTCTTCGAAGATATACACTGCAGCCCCTAAGTATTAGAACAGTGATTTATTTCCTTTTGTTTTGACCCTAATCCAGCACATTTGAGGTTAAAGTTCGGACTTTCAATTCAAAACATTTGATGGTGGTCGCATCCATATTGGTTGAATGGTTTAGCACTTGTGGGGCCACTATTTTATGTATATTCCCCAATAAATCCAACTTAGCTTGTGTTTTACTTGCTGAAATCCAGACTGAACATGAAACGTGAAAAGTGCCTCTGAAGAAAGCGAAAACTGAAGACAGCTACAGTGCTGCCCTGGAAGTGCATTACCAGGCAAGACGCATTGGCAAGAGTCATTGATTGCAAAGAATTAAAATATGATAATATCAAAATTACACTCCAGTTAAAGCAAGACAATGTCACTTGTGCAATGTAACAATGTAAGAAGAGTCATAAATCCAGTGAATTAAATAAAGATCATGATGTGATCTTGGCAGCAATGATTGTAGCAAGCCAGCCAGGAGCTATTACAGCTCACAGTACATGATATGCACACCAATAGCACAGACAATACAATACCTCATAGTCACCATGAGGGCATGAAACGGTAAAACAACATAAAACCTACTGCTGGGAAGTGGAGACGACTGTAAAGCAGTGGTTATATACAGGAGAGAAAACAGCTCTCCATGTGCCCATAGCATGATTTGCTCAACAATGTTATGTGATCTGCTACTTCTCTACATTTAAGAACAAATGTTGCTGCGACCACTACAGAAAGTTGCACATAAACATTTACCAGATGCAAAACAAGATAGTCAGCTCCATAACTTAATGGCCGTGTTTGCGCTGTAATATCATTAGTGTGATATCTTTTGTGAATCAGACCTTGAGATGGGGGAAAAGATGGCGGTCGTAAGTGATGTGCAATTCATTGTGCTATCGGAGGCCGCAATCCAATTTTTGTCAATTGAAGAAGGGGGTGTTTTTTCACTTGTGAATTCAGCTTTTTTATATTTATTATATATAAGAGTAATATTTTATGTCTTCAATGGCTCTACCTCATGGACCATTGTTTCATATCAAATGTGATAGAAGACTAAGCCAAGTAAATAAAAATGTATCCCTGTCCAAATATTTATAGACTGCACTGTATATATCTTATGTTCACCTCACATTATCTGACCAGTTTTGGTCAGTTTTGAAGCCTCCAATTGAAGCCTCCTGAAGCTACAGAAATCCTTTAAAAGCCACTTTGACTATGCAGAAAATGAATCCTGTTGGGGTTTAGGACACAAATATAGCAGTTACTTTAGCAATGCATGACTCATCAGTCTGAGACTTGTACATCCTAGAGAGGAGAAAGGCAAAATACGCATAGGAATCTGGGGGATTATGGGATGGAGAGACGGAGCAGAAAGAGGGAAAGGAAGAGAGTGTCACAGCAGACACTGTGAGCCTCGTCGTTCGCATCATCACATCCACACTCGTCACTGAGGAAGAGGGCTAACTTTCCCACTCTCTTCCTAATAATGAATAATCTTTTTTACCTCACTGCTGCTTCCTCTTTAATTCTATCACCCTTTCTTAATCCCTTTCTCCCGTCTATCTTCCATTTTCTTATAAGCTCTTTCAGTCCCTCCCTTCCTCTCTCTCTTTCTGTCTGTCTGTCTCTCTCTCTCTGTCTCTCTCTCTCTCTCTCTCTCTCTCTCTCTCTCTCTCTCTCTCTCCGTCTCATGCAGCAGGGCCTGACTTTCCCAGAGCAGGGTGGACTGTGGTGGAATGTGTGCTGCTGACTTTCACACGGGGTCAGGAGACCCAGCCTCTAGGGAGGAGACCAGGGAGAGAAAGAGAGAGAGAAGGATGAGTCAAAGAGGGCAGGGAGGGACTTACAGGGAGAGAGAAGCTGATTCAAAAAGGGCCATAAGTAAGGTGCGAGACGAGTGACATCAGTCTCGCTACAACTTTCCTACCTCGCCATCCTCTCTTTTTCTTCATTTGCACACCTTTATTTCTTTTGAATAAACCAGGTTGAGACGTCAGTGTTTAGTTCAGTCAAAACTCTCCCATTTCTCTCCTCCTCACTCCTCCGCCTCCCTCTTCCTCTGTCTCTTCTCACTCTTTGTTGTTTCTGTGGTTTTTGGACCATCAGCCAAAGACAAATCCCACAATCACTAATTACGTGCTGCTGATGGGAAGGATTAACAAAAGGGAGGTATAGAGACATCACTTTCTTTGCCTGCCAGGAGGAACGGGGCCCTAATCAAATGTGGCATGTTTACATTTTTTTCTCACACTGTACAAACAAGCCTTTACAGAACTCTGGGGCCGTGAAGCCTCACCTTCAATTGCAATCCCCTCCTTCCTCTCTCTTTCCTCCATTTCCTCCTTTCTTCTGGGCTTATGCTCCTACTCACCCACTATGCGCACTCTTTCTTCCTCATGCTCATGCTCATACACCCCAGCACCCTGTTATCTGTGGTCTCACCGCTGCCACCTCAAATGGTGCACATGAAAGGAGGGCAAAGGAGGGATAAGGAGGGATAAGGAAGCTTGTTGAATATCAGATGAAGCAGATGTCGGTGAGAGTTGTGAAACATGGTGTTGAAAAGAGACAAGCATGTTGGATTTGCTGCTTCTTACTGTAGGTCAGGGGTCAGCAACTTTTTTTTGATATGAAGTGCCATTTTTAAAGTTTATTGTTAACCAGTCCCGGGATTTTGCTGATTTTATGATGGATGTAACAATGTTTGAAAAGTGAAAATTGCAAAAAATCCCATTACAAATCAAGGTCAACTCATTCTAAGTAACCTTGTGTAAAAAAAAATCCAATAAAAGCAATTTAACAAAGTATGAAATACTGCAAATGAATCAATTTCACATTGTTAAGATAATTTGTCTCATGTCGGATCAGTCTACGAAATGTTTTCTCCCAAACTGACAGTAATAATCCTACCTGTCAGAACTGTCTCTCTCCTCATATTTTCATCATGTATCAGTGAATACATGAATAATCAGCAAAACCTTTCGCATACAGTGTGTGAGGAAAAAAAGAAAAGGATCCAAACAAATTTATAAAAGTTTCAAGCATTTGTCAGGGATTCACTGAGATAACCTCCACTTATCTTAAACTCCCAGTGATTTTAATTGGAGACCAACACTTTGTGTTTTACGTCCTAAACAAATCACTGCATGGCTTTCTTTCATATTAAACATCGACCAGTTAGTACATTTACTTTAATCTGAACATTTTACTCATTCTTCCAGCTTCATTACTTCCACTTTCCTGTGCCAAATAAGTTTCCGTCTGTTTTCTGTTGACCACAGCAAAGTATTTACATCTGAATGTGATTATATGTGAGATCGTCTGTTGCCCGTCTGCTGGTCTGCAAAGCCAAACTCACCTTTCCATTCTGCTCATGCTGCTGTCAGAGTGAGTCAAAGTACAATGGATGCATTGTGAGGGAAATTAAAAGATGATTTGTTGCCAATTAACGAATCAGACATTATTTTATCATTTATCATTTTATTATTCATCTTATTTAAAATCCTTAAGTAATCAAATCAAGTCATTTGTGTTAAAGTCAAACTCGAGTTACAAGTCTTTTTTGATTTTGAAATGAAGTCAGTCAGGCTTATGACTGGAGTCTAAGTCATGTGACTCGCGTTGACACCTGCCTGTCAACCGTAAGATGAAAAGTCAGTGAAATCATGTGAGGGTTGTTCGCCTTCTCTGCTAATGCTTTAACTCTCGTCTCCCCAATAATCAATCTAAACAACAACTCAATGTGTGATTTCATATTTGTCCTTTGACCCCACACAAAAGTAATCACACTGAGGGTATCCAAAGGGTCCCTGTGGGTCACACAACAGAGAAATCCTCTGTGGGTTGTTTACAGTATATCGCCTATTAGTGTGATCTACGCGTATGTGCTGAAATGCAATTTAGCAAATGGAGCTTAACGCTGCTTTTTACAGACTGAGGATCAATGCAGTTAATGAATTAAGCCATTTTTGTCTAAGTGCAAGCATACAGTCACAAAAGATTAACAGCTCTTAATTGGGTGAAACCATTTTTTGAGTCATTACTTTTTGAAAAGCAACCCATAGGCCATTGCATATTCTCAAGAGTGCAATCCTTGTGTGTGTGTGTGTGTGTGTGTGTGTGTGTGTGTGTGTGTGTGTGTGTGTGTGTGTGTGGGGGGGTGTGTGTGTGTGTGTGTGTGTGTGTGTGAGAAGATGCAGACACTGCTGGTACTGGGTGGCCTCCTGAACAGGCTACTCAGGATATCACCTTTCTTCCTCCGTCTTTCACTGTGCCTCTTTCTCTCTCTCTTTCTTTTCGTCCCGTTTGTCGATCCAACGGTTAGTAACTTCCTACATGCAAGACGCTACATTTAGACATGTCACCACTTAGCCGACTCGCTACGCTCTGTGGGCGGTATGTGTGTTTAGATATGAGTGGGTGTGAATGTGCATTTTGGTTAAGGACTGTGAGGAGCGTTATCTGACCAGCAGTACCGCGTTGTAGTGATGATTTCTTCCTTCTGCCTCACACTCTTCCTCTCTCCTGTCTCTGTTTGTCTGAGGTTTATTTACTATCCATTCATTCATACTTTCTGTTTGTTTCCCTTTTGTCTTATCGTCGCCAGTCCCTGTGTCAGGCAGCCTGGCGAGGAGGATCTTCAATGTTTATAAAAGAAATATCTTTGGAGCAGAGCACTGCCCCTGGGGTGGTACAGTGTGTGTGATGGTTATCTAGACCACACTGGGTGATGTTCACGAATGAACTACTGTACTTGACGGTGCTGCACTGTCTCACTTTCTTTGTTTGGACATGAATGGAAAGGAGAGGAATCAACTGGTCGTAAACACAGGAGCTTCTTTGCCCCACCCCCCTCGTTCTCTCCCCATTCACATCTCTGTTTTATACCACGTTTGCCCTCAACCCGCTTGTTTGGTGCGGTGTCATAAAGTTCAGTAAAAGTGGCCGCTGTGGTGTTTTCACTTAGGTTAAACATGGGAGAAGGTGCAGTGGTATCATTTTATAGGGTTTTGTTTCTTTGGTCACTGTATGAAAAGTTAATGCAATGACCTTTATTAAACAATAATAACTATTTATAACCGTGTTTCCATCTACTATTTTTTGCACATTTTCAATTTACACATTAAAAAACATTAAAAAGAACTAAAACATTTTTACACTGGGCTGAGACACTTATTGAATAAATTATGGTAGACATGAAGCATCTGACTTATTTGAGACACAAAAAAAAGAAGGCAGACGAAGACACCAGATATGTGTGGGCCACCAGCTGTTTATCTCAAAGCACTCAGCTCCTTATATTACGGTAGTGAAAGGAAATATATTCATTTTGTTTGCACTACATTTGGATAGATTAAGAACAGCAGAGAGATGACAAAAAATAAGGGCAGAGAGAAACAACAAAGGCCGTTGTGACACACAGTTTGGACCAAGCGGCAAACCCGTGGTTGGCAAATGAAGAGAAAGTAACAAAAACTTGGGTTTGGCTACAGAAGTGAGTGATCGCCACAAGCCCCCATATTAAAACGTCTACTTTACAGCAGAAATAAACATGTTTACAACCTGGTAACCCTAAAACAGTTCTCTGTCTCTATAGCAAAATACCCCGTTCATGATGACTGTAAGTGGGGTAAATTTTTATATAACTCGCCTGTTTAAATTATGTTAAGGCTTAAAGTTATGCACAATTCACTACTTCTAAAGATGGCGACGGCCAGACCCACCGCACTTTGAGCTTCACAATGGCTCTTTAGAAACCTACGGTTGACGTCACGCAGACTGTGTCCATTTTTAATTATACAGTTATGGTTGGCGCCTTAGGTCGCCAGGGTGCCTTTGGAAGAGTACAGTTTCGATGGACAGAGATCGACGCTAATCTCTCCCATGTCTTTGAATCAGTATTAGTTTCCCTTTTTTTCAATGTGATTTAGACTGTATTTGCTGCAGTCTAGTAATGCTCGTTCAAGCTGTGTTCACATTGCGGCTTAAATGTCATACTGTATACAATGAAAAGCCTTACTGGTAGGCACAGCAGCATTTTAGTCAACCACAAAAGCAAACTGTGAACACCAGCGTCCTCTCTGCTCGTAAGGAGTTAGGCAGCAGTCGGGAGCAGCATTAGGACCCAGAGGTTCAGTCTTCTGCCTCGTGCTCAGGAGTGATCAGATAAATGTCTTGGGTGATCAGTTCAGCGACTCAGACTGGTTAATCTTTAATCAGTAGGCCTAATCAGACGAATTTCTTGCAGTAGACAAGTGATTTTGACCGCAAATCTCAAATAAATCTAAAACCCATTAAAACCACACACATACACGCGCTTTCCAAGTACAAGTCACCACTAATTCTAAATACTGTGTAAATAGTCCTTGTATGTTTTCCTCAAAAGTCCAACTTAAAGGTGGACTGTTAGGCTACATAAGAATATATATAAAGTGCTAGAAATTTGCCCACAGTGGCAATTTATTTTCAGTACACAGTTTATATCTTTATGTCAGAATTAGCTTTTTAGACAGCAACCCAAAGCAAAGTAAATGAAGTGCGTCGACCGAACACAGCACGTGACAACAAAATGCCATGGACATACACATGAGAGACAGCGACAGCAAGAGGTGAGGAGAGGAAGTGCAGCTGGTATGGTAGCCTGGGGTTTATGTATTTTTTTTTAAATGTAAAGCTACAGGCAGTGAAAACTACTGTGAAAAGCAAGCAACAAACTAGTAAATACGATCTGTAGTTGGGCCAACATTGTATTGAACAGACATTGAGACAAATCAGCTTTTTCTCTTGAAAGAAAAATGCATTTTTCAGTGGCAAAAAGGCTGGAAATATGACACGTCAAAGACCTTCTGCGAGTGCCTAGCCACCGCCAGTATGGGGTTGTACATAGAAAAATAATAGGGGTAATAGTGTATTTTGGCCTTGGTCCGCTACAGTATGACTGCCCCCACTCCACAGCTAAATTCACTCTGCAGTATAGCGTGAGTGGAGGTCATGGCATCACGGCACAGTTTGGCTAAATATTACTTGGAGGTCATCCCTCAGACACGGTATGCCCCACTTACTTGAACAGAATCCCCAACTTCTCCACAGTTCATTTCAAGCAAAAACTCACACGTACGTTACACACGTATCCCTTTCACTGAAACACAGTCTCACCTTTGTATGCCTGCAGCAAAGAGCTGGCAGTTTTGGGGTTCTCATTAAAGCTCATTATATTCATATTTAGCATTATTAGCCTGGTCAGCAGAAGGAGCAGAGGGAGCAGAGACGGATTACAGACACTGAGAGAGTGCTGGAACGGTCAAGTCTGTTTTACGGACACGGTCCAAGAGGCGCTGGGAAAGTTCCCCTACTGATTTTTTACCTGCTACCAATTACAGCCGAGTCCAGACATTAAAAACACATATTCTACCTCCACGCCAAACATATGTTCCAGAAAACACAAACAGCCAAGATTTTGAGAAATTTAGTGGCTCATATGCAAAGATAAATATTCAAAAATATGCTCATTCAGACACACATAAAGTTTGTCAGCAGCTGCAAAGTACAATATGAACTGTTATCATCTGTTGGGCAGAGTTAACGGAAATTAGATTTCCTCCGTTATACTTTTTAGATGACTCACACACACAACATCCAGCGGGCGATGGTAATGTGCGTAGCATGGTCCAGTCGGGCTGTCCAGCAGACATCAGCTGTTGATTTTCTCACTGTATGTGTGTATGTGCATCCGCGTGCAAGTTTGCGTTTCAGTCTGCATCCATCTGTGTTACTTGTTATCATTGCCTGGTTGTGTGTGTGTGTGTGTGTGTGTGTGTGTGTGTGTGTGTGTGTGTGTGTGTGTTTGTGTTTGCAACATGCTAAGTGTTGGAGTGTTTGTATGAAAGTGTGTGAGTGTTTCTGGGATCATTTAGGGACACTATATTGGAGCTGGAGTCTTGGACAATACAGTTGTTTCCATTTTGTGGGTGAATGTTGATAAGGGGGATTAAGTGATGGAGACACTGAGAAATCAGTTCAGCCTCTAACGGGCTTAGATGTTTGTATTTATTACACTCTGGAGGAAGTAAAGCAGAACCAATCAGAATTTGTATCACGTCCCCCGTTGGAATATCTGAGTGTGTGCTGTTTTGTGTCTCTGCTCACAAGCGTCCCACAGAGCAGGTGTCCGTCCCACAGAAAAGTGGGCTAAATCCTGTGCACCTGTGTTCTTGTGAAGCAAAGGAATTTCTCCTTGGCTTAATCCTCCCGACGGTTTTCAGCCCTCTTGCTAAATAACTCCTCCTTTTCTCTCCCTTTTCCCTTCTTCACCAACACCCCCTCCTCTTCCTATTTCTCTCCTTCTCATCCTGTTCTTTCTCTTGTCTCTTTCTTTCATCCAACTTTCCTTCTTTTCTCTCTCCAGGGAATAGCTTCTGTTCTGCAGCGCAGGTCTGACAATGAGGAGTATGTGGAGGTTGGACGCCTCGGACCCTCTGACTACTTTGGTGAGTGGCTCTTGGCCGACAAAGCTCTTTCTCTTCCAAGTCTAGCATCCCACACAAGAAGCAATTGGTCAAACCAATAACTGGTTTTTATTCTATACCTGTTATTTAGCTTTAGGAATATAAATTGTGCAAGGAGAAACACAAAAAAAAGCAACTTTGTCACGTAGCTGAGAAATGTCAAATGTTAGTTAGATTGCGCTGAGATGTAACATGAATATTTTGTCTTAATATTGTATTATAATAAGATTTTGGGGTCTTTAATTATACTGTGAAATTAAATGACAAAAACATACCAAAAATAACATTGTTATGCCACTAATGATTATTATCATTATCAATTAATCTGTGGATTATTTTCTTGATTAAGGGTTAATCGTATATTAAAAAGTCTATGTGACAATGCTCATCACAAGTTCCCAGAGCCCAAGGTTTCTTTCTTTTCTTTGTCTTAATGAGACAAAGAAAAGCAGCAAATATTACCATTTGAGAAGCAAGAATCAGTTGTCATTTTGCCTTAAAAAGTATTTAAAAGATTGAATTTAATATCAAAATTGTTCCAAATATTTGACATTTTAATTTATTTTTCAATCTTAGAGATCAAGATTTTAGTAAAAATGCTTGGAATGAAAATGATCTATCGTCAAATGAAGTGTCTAAGGATCTGTGAAGTTTCAGTTGCTCTGTTCCAAAAACAGATTTTCAGGATGGAAAAAATTAAAACAAGAGCCAATCAGAGTTGCTGCTTAAAACAAGTTATTTATTACCCAGCAATACACTACTGATGCTGAAATTCAATGAATTTCAAATGCCTTAAACACGAATTGTCATTCATACACAAATCATAATCATTTTTTTTTTACAGATGCTCAAAACTATGCAGATTTGGAACATTTAATGACCCCAGCTGGTGGCCCTCTCTTCCCCCTCCTCCTCTTCCTCTTCCTCTTTTAGGTGAAATCGCCCTGCTGTTGAACCGTCCCAGGGCAGCCACCGTAGTCGCTCGCGGCCCGCTCAAGTGTGTGAAGCTGGACAGGCCCCGATTTGAGCGTGTGCTGGGGCCGTGCTCAGAGATCCTCAAGAGGAACATCCAGAGATACAACAGCTTCATCTCCCTCACCGTGTGACAGGTCGGCCCCTCTGGGCCCCACCAGCAGGGGTGGGCAGCATCAGCATCAGAGTTTTGGTCGGTGGGTGGGAATAGGTGAGGATTCGGGGTAAAGGACATGGGTTTTACATGCACAACAACAGGGCGCTTATTTCCTGCCTTTTTTTCCCCCTTTTTGCGCATTTCTTTTCTTTTCTTTGATCTTGTGCACTTTGACTTGACCTGTGCTGTCACGTAGCTTTATGTCAAAAACAACATGCAGGAGTGTTAAAAATCAGAGCGAGGACAGGGATCATTCAACTGTAAATGAGTCATGTATACAGTGTGTCAACTGTATAGGATGCATGCTTCTAGACTGACAAACAATGGCGTTTGCACTTTGTTGATTTATGAAGGGTATGGATGAATTCAGGAAATAAGAAGGAAGTGAAGTCATGTTCACGTACAGCAGGAGGAAGTGAGTACACATTTCCTTACTCGCTGACTGTGGTTTGCCTTTTTATCACTTCTGAGTGTGCGTGGTGCCATTCTAGGTCAGATCAGACCAGCGCTACACAGACCTCTGTTCCCTAAAGCGTAGATGTAGAGGTATGAAGAAATTTAAATTCTTGGCTTTTTCATTCATTTTTAGTGCTTCTTAAGTGTGCTTTTACTGCTGCTACTCAGTTGGGGGGGGGTTGTTACAAGCAGTGATATGTTGAGTTATCATTTTTTGTGGTGTGTGCCAGCCAAATTAACCGACAAAGTTGCTTTTTTTTCTCAAGAAATCCTCTATGTCCCAATATTCCCTGAAGCGGTTCAGTCTGATCTGTGAGCTGTGGTATTCCAAAGGCGCAGTAGTGTTATCAGTCCAGTCCACATAACACACAAACAGAGTCTGAAACACACTGACATGAAACACACACAACCATACTGTATATTCTTACACTGTCTCAGGACTATGTGAATCCTCAACACACACAAACATACACACACCTTACCTGATGCTTTTTTTGACCTGTTTTTGTTCTATGTTAAATTGCTAGATGAACGCTTTTGCACCACTTTAGAGTTTGTACCGTTGGGTCAATACAGAAGTTTGATTTAGCTGTTTTTAAGACATGACTTATGTGTTATAAATACATAAAATAAAGAGGTAGACTATATACTTGTGTTGCTTTCCTTTGATCTACTGTAATCTGTCAAAGTTGCACAACTGACCCAGCGACTGATGTTGTATAAAATGGGACCTTAAGAACTTTCTGTATTCTCTCTCTCTCTCCCTCTCTCTCTCTCTCTGTCTCTCTCTCTCTCTCTGTATCTCTTTCTTTCAACTATCAAACCATCTTGAGCAAATAAAGATAAGCTTCTGAAATCCTCTTGATTTGAGTCGTTATGTTCTCTTGATCAGCCTCTCCTTGTGTATGAGAATGTGACTCTTTTTCACATTTTTTCCCCCTTCATTTATCCCAATTTCTGGCACCCTCTCCTCCTCTCCTGACTGGATGTCTCTCTCTTTCCCCTTCATCTCAGCTCATGCCCACACCCTACCTCCCCTGAATGTTATATCTCTATTAATCTCTCTTTTCTCTCTAAAGTGCAAACGGTCCTTCTCAATCACAGCTCTTCCTACAGGTTCCTCCTCTGCATCCCTGCCTCCCACCACTCTCCTCTGCTCTCCATCCTTCTCACATTAAGCCAAGTGTCAGTCATCCGTCAGTCTGAGCTGTCAGAAAGCCTCAGAGCTCCTCCCAGCCGGTTTACACCGCAGTGGACTAAAGCCTCCACAGCTTGGACACATTCCTCTTCATCTTAATGCCCACTAAATCAACAAAGGAATGCGCCCCCAACTCGCCAACGTTGAGTTTAGTACCCCCCTCCTACACACACACACTGGCTAACACATACAACTTCATCACTTTGACAATACACACTAACACGTGAACTCACACACACACACACACACACACACACACACACACGTTTGGGTTTCGTAGCTCAATGAAACAAGAATTGCTCCTCCATCTGAAAGGTTTTGGGGCTTGACTTCCAGCACAAAAACATGTGTCCACTCAAGGCAGTTAAGCGTGAATAACACAAATGCTGCATTTCGTGCACGACTTCTCTTTCTCTCTCCTCGTGGACATGTTTACTGTTGTCACTTGGTTGCAGACCACACTGACAGTTTTAGCACTGCTGACTCTTAAGAGACTTGAAATGTTCTCCACAGTCGTTTCATCTCTCCTGTTGCTTTGCAGGATGCAGCTGAGGTTTCAGTTGCACACCGTTCCAAAGATACAGCTCGAGAAAGGGTGCGTAATTCTACCCAAAAGGAGGATAGATTGATAAGAAAAAAACATTTTTTTACCTGGCTGGAAGTTCCATAAAAAGCTAGTAAGTGGAGCTTGAGTTGGAATTGTTTAGCCAAGCTACTATTTCCAAGGTCAAGAATGAACTTTCAGGCTTAACTTTCAGTCCTTAAAGCACTTTGGATGCAATAATAACAGGTACTGAGCTCTTATGTCAACAGATCCGTCTCCATGACAACGTCAGCAAATGGAGTTTGTGTGGATGGACTGAGTATTCACAGAAAATGCTAGTAAGTGGACATCGAGCTGTGATTGTTTTGTCAAACCACCGTCATGTTTCGTGTTAAAACTCAACCTGAGATGACCTGGGTTTGTGTGTGTGTGTGTGTGTGTGTGTGTGTCTTGAGCACCTGATCAGGCAGACCCATTACTGGCCCATCCTGGGTGGGCCAGTTGAGGACAAAACTTGGCACTGCTACATGAACAGTAAGATGAAGCCTGCCTTGATACCATGGCACTGTGCCACTGTTAGAATACACACACACACACACTTTCACACACTCCTTTACCAACTTTTAATTTCAGTCACTCAGTTCTGTGTTTGGGTCTTGGGATCTACCACTGTGCCTGTAACAGTGAGACCAAAACCATTTCACCAGCTAAGCTCAGTTCAGGTAATTGAAAGTAACATGATCATAATGTTAGGAGAGGCACAGCCATCAACACTACAGCCAATGGCCAACTGCCTAGACAACATCCAGTGTTGATGGTAATATGTGAATTATTTTATTTCCACTATATATACTTTTTTGTTAAATGTTCACTTACTTTACAATTACTGCCCACTGACCAATCAAACAAGTCAGTTACAGAACTGAACAGGCTGAAGACTTCATTGGTGTGGATTTGTATTTTGCAGAACAGCAAGGATATGTTTTAATGTATGCTCTAAATGTTTGGTTAAATGTTATAAATAAAAAGTCTTTGAACACAAATTTTTCTAGCTGCTGTTATGAGTGCATTAAATGATTCGGCATACAGCCCTCTGACCAGTTGTACTGGAGTTTAGCTCTGTGTCTCCCTTTGCTCTCATTCAGCATAATAAACGGAAGCGGTCCACGAGAGGTGAAAAGCAGCAGGGACGCGGGAGGTGCATAACCCCAACTACACCACCACCCCCTCTTCTACTCCCACCATCCCTTTTTTGCTACTACAACTCCCAGATACTCCCACGGTGGAGTGTGTTTGGTGCATTTTTTGTCCAAACAAACAAGAGGCCAGACTCGGTGAGTTGGTGGGCAGCAGTGGACGGAGGAGACCGAAAGGGTGCAGAGGGTAAAGACGGACGTGGAGGAGGTGATGAACGTGCAGGAAGAGGAAGAGGAATGTGTTTTTTTAAGTCCTGAGTGGTGTGAAGTCCATGGGGAACCACTGAGATAAATTTTAAAGAATTTATCCCAGCATGGGAACGTTTTGCCTCCTCATTTACAGGATGGCTTCTTAAGGGCATCTCTCCAAATTCCAAGTTTTATATAACGATTGCCACACATTTACAAGATAAGATGGCTGGGAGGGATTTGGTATGTGTGTGTCCACATTGCTTGCATGTGTATTTGTTGCAACCCATAACCAGACACAGCCACCCATGGTCTCATGAGAGGATGTTTTATTTGGTGCTGCATATTTAGATCTGGCACAGTGAGAGTAGCCTGTGGGCGTGTGACCCTCATCTCCTCTTTTCTCTTTCTCCCTGATTCTCTCTCTTTTCTTTCCTGTCCTCTTCTCCAGCTCTCTGTGTTCCCATAGTCACCATCTCTGCTCCCTTCTATCCCCTTGTCTTGGGAGATCCGGGCTAATTAAAATGCCTGCCAACACTAGGCTACAACTTCCATTGATTCTCCCCGGCTTCTCCCTCCTCCGTGATCCCCACACCACGGTGGATAAAATCAACCCCCAACCGCCTGCGCTAATGACCGGAGCCTTTGATACGCAGCTCTTTTCTTGTCTAGATATATCGGGTGTGGCGACATGACTGTTCCAGAGTTCTGCCTGGCTGGGTCGAAGCTCTCGGTCCAGGGGCATCTTATCTCAGCCCGGTCCCCACTTCTGCTGCTATGATTTTCAGCTCTAATCGTGACCTTCTCAGGTCAAAGGTCGCCGCCCAGGCCTGGTCACAGGTGATTGAGCAATAGTGAGGCTGATGGGATTGAAAGGTTAGGGATGAGAGGGGGTGTCGAGCCGAGGTCAGGGGGAGAAGGGGAGTCAAAAATTGGGTCAGGAGATCATCACAAGGTCCGGCTCAGTTAAACAGCAGCCGCTCTACATAGTAACGATAGAATAACTTGGTGGTCATTAACACCTTTAAACAGACTGGCTTGTGTAAAATTTCTACTTTCTAGTGAAAGTAACAGTCAAGAGCAAACTCTAAGTAATTAAAATGATGTACTTTTAAATGATGTCCCCCTTCCTGCCGCTGTCTTTTGCCATTTGTCCGCAGTGGGACTCAGAGAAAAGAAAAGGAAAAAGAGAGACAGCAAAAAATGAACAAGGGGCTGAGATACCATCTGTTTGTTTTTCTGCTTTTCTTTCCCAAGCTTGTTATCGTTCCTCATTTCCTGCTGGACGACAAGTAAATAATTCACATGTATACATTTACCAACACTAAGATCAAGCCACTCTGACTCGCCTCGATTTTGGCCTCAGTTTCAAAGCTATTCCCAGCCAACGGAGCCTTGGTGACTCGCCTCCAAACGACGTGTAGAAAAAACAAACAAAAGCCTGAAATGTTCTCCTGATATTCTGCATGCTCAAGGGAGAAAAATGTGTCAGTAGCATTTTTCTGAGTGAGATATTCCATCATGCACATGACTCTGCAGTCTCCTGCCCACATTGATTCCGACCCAGCACAATCTATCTCTTCACTTGAGCTCTGACTTCACTCCCCGGGGAGGCAGCTCAGCAATTGACTCAATTGTTCCTTTATTTCAGTGCCTCCTACTCTCTGAGGAATCGTTAGGGTTTTGAGTGCAGATCATAAAAGTAGTCCAACTCTGTTCTAATCACATTAGGAAGATGAAGGAATGCAATGAGCAAAAAGTCCCCGTTGGACTATTTCGGAAATGGTCTCAAAAGCCCACTCAGATAATGTTAATAGATCTTTGGCTTTAAGACATTTTGGATGATTTGCTCCAGACTCCTGCACTTAACTCATGTTTCTAATTCAGTTGTCAGCTTTTGAGATGTGATGCTCCAAATTGAACAGGCTGACTTCAATGTCTGGATAAGATCTTGCACCTTACCAAGGAATTAACATGTTGTCGCGGTCTATTAGATGTGAGAGCGTCACTAAGTCTACCCTCGCATCCCGGAGGATTCACCTCATCCCCCATAACGCAGCCTCTCACTGCAGGTGTGCAAAGTCACAAGGCTGTCAAATGTCTCCTGATTATTAGGCCACCTAGACACCCACAACCCTCCAGCCCCAAATCCCTTCAACGTCCCAGCTGTACCTTGAGCAATGCCCCTGGGCTGAGGCAGTGGCTGGGGAGCAGAGTCCACAGGGGTGACCCGACTCTCCCTAAACCCTGCAGGAATGTGTGGATTTGAGTGAGTGCTGTAACCAGAGAGCACTCTCTCCTATCTTTAAGCCCATAATGGAGCCACTTCCTGTTGATAATCAGTTTGTTGTGATCTCCCTCTGCCTTGGGATTTTGACACTTCATCTTGAGTCCTAGGAGAGGAGGAGTTAGAAGAGGTGTTATTATGGTTCTGGTCTGTGTGCCATAATGACAGTGTGGGCTAGCATCAAAGGCTTGGGGACCAGAAAAAGTAATTTTTCTATTTTGAGCTCTAGATCCTACAACAAATCTTAACAATATTTGCACACACACACGTGCATGCAACAATGCCCAATGTGTTACTTTTAAATACAGGACATAGATTGCTTGAAATGCGTGCTTTGTGGAGGTGGCATCTCTGGTTCAATTCTGGCAGCGATATTTTCCTTTTTTTCTTGTTACTTTCTACTTTTGACTCTCAAATAAAGGCAAGAACACCAGGGAAAAAA